AGATCGCATGCGGCTCGCCCCGATTTGTCACGCCCCTCACGCGTGTCGCGGTCCCCACAAAGAGCTCCGCCGAAGGCCCCAATGGCAGGGTCCGAAGGCGGCCCCCATCCACCCCCTCCCCTTCATTCGTGGCCCCTACGTATGGAGAAATCCACCGAAGACAATATTACAGCCGCGGTACTCACAACTGCACATGGTTGGGTCCTTCGCCAGGGCATATGAATGTCCTTTGGCCCTGATGGGGCCCCCAGAGGCCGAAGATGGCCAAACCCTTCCGTCGGGTCTTCTCGCGGCGCGCGAAAGTCTTGGCCCTCCTCCACCCCCGCCGTCCTGTCCTCCCAACCTCGCCCCTCCCTCCCGCCCCCCAGTCCGAGCAGGCGGACAGCCAGCGGAAGCCCATCCTCCGCCCGAGCCCGCGCGAGTGCTGAGGGCATCGCGGCGCTGTCCTCGTCGTGGCCAGTCGGGCGCCGGCATCCGTCACCTCCCCGCACCGACTAGTTGTGTCTCTCCATCTCCTCCTCCTCCTCTCCTCCTCCTCCTCCTCATCATCATCTCATCATCTCATCATCATCATCATCATCATCAATCATCATCATCATCATCATCAATCATCATAATCATCCGCATCAGCATCAGCATCATCTCATCATCATCATCATCATCACATCATACATCAATCAGCATCATCATCATCACATCATCATCATCATCATCATCACATCATCATCACATCATCAATCATCATCATCATCATCATCATCACATCATCATCTCATCATCATCATCCATCCTCTTCCTCCTCCTCCTCCTCCTCCTCCTCCTCCTCCTCCTCCTCCTCCTTCCTCCACCACACCCTCCCCTGGTCAAGTAATCAACGAAGTCCTCACCATGAACACTACTCTCCTCGATCCCCCAACTGCGTCCTGAAAGTATCTTACCCTCTCCATGTATTACTTCTACTACACTGAGTAGCGAACATGGATGGTCACTAAGGTTTTTCCAAACGGAACTTTTCAGGTGCTTAAAAAAGGCGTTCCGCTGCAGCACTGGCCTCATTTCAGGATCGGAATTTGGCTCACGTCTTTCAGAATGGCGCCCTCGTCCCAGTGCGGGCCACATCTCTGGATCCGTGTGATGACTTGTATTTGCCGCACCCTTCACTTCCCCTCCCCCGCCTTTCCCCAGTCATCATGCTCATGCCGCTCCGCCTGCTATTGCTGCGCTGTTCCTACTGGTCTTCTTCAGTCGTCCTCACCCTCCTCCTCCTCCTCCTCCTCCTCCTCCTCCTCCTCCTCCTCCTCCCCCTCCTCCTCCTCCTCCTCCTCCTCCTCCTCCCCCTCCTCCCCCTCCTCCCCCTCCTCCCCCTCCTCCTTTTCCCTTTTCCCTTTTCCTGCCCATCCTCCTGCTCATCCGCCATCTCATCCTCCAATGTAGACAGCTCCCCTGCCCCTTTTGCGCACCACGCGACGGGGTCCCCTGACACCGGTCGGAGGAGGGAGAAGAAAGAAGCAGCGCAGTGGGAAGCGATGGGTGGGAGGGGCAGGGCGTCAGAGAGGGCGCGAGCGCACCAGGCAGCGTCCCATTCCCACTCTGCCCTCCCCCGTGCCCAGCTTAAGGAGCCGAACCCTATACCACGACGCTTGTTCGGGCCCCCCTCGGCGGCGCGCACAAGGGGGCAGGGGGAGGGGGGGGAGGCTTCTTAGCAGCAGCCCTGTTTCTCAGAAGGCGCGGGCCTTCTAAGAAACAGGCACCTTCTAAGAAACAGCCGTAGGCAAGGCCCGCGCCTTCTAAGAAGCAGGTGTGCTTCTAAGAAGCCCTCCCCCCTCCACCTACCCCCTCTGCGCCTGGCCGACCCTCACTGAAACTCCCACAAGGAAGCGGATCCTCGTGTATACGAGATCCTGGTGTATACATGCTTCACAGTTTTCCCGGGAAAAGCGGGAAAAATATACACCACACCACCCCAAAGTCGTCCCCGACCCTCGAGGAAGTCCTGGGATTGAGAAGCAGCCCGCCACTGGCAATGTAGATGCTCCAGTTTCCGATATCCTCCCCCTCCTCCCCACCCCCCTCCCCACTCACACTTCCCGTCTCCCTTTCCCTCGCCCTGTCGCTCCCAGGCGGAGTGCGGGCGCGCACTTTTTTCGTCGCGGGCGCGGCAGAGAAAGATCCGCCCGCGCGCCCTGGCAGCTGGAGCAGAGCGTACCAGGTTTCCGCCTGCAAGTGAAAAAAGACAGGGCAGAGGGCGGCCGCGGAGCAGGAGGTAGGGAAATGAGCTCTATACACCGACGCTTGTTCCGGCGCTGCACTGCCGCTTGCACAGGGAAGCGGATGCTGGGGTGTACGGAATCCTGGTGTATGCAGTCTTCGCTGCCTCCCCGGGGAAACGTGGAAAAAAATATACACCACGCCACCCCCGACGTCGTCCCCGACCCTCCAAACGTCCCGGGATGGAAAGCCAGACCGCCACTGGTAATGTATACCTATATATGCCTATATATGTATGTATATATATATGTATACATATATGTACATAAACCTATATATATATATATATATATATATATACATATATATACATATATATATATATATATATGCGCACCAGCTTCCGGCAGGAGGGCACTCACAGCACGAAGGTCGCGTGCGCATCGTCGTCGTCGTCGGCGCATCGTCGTCACCGTGCGCCGCTGACGTCGTGCGCTCTCGAAGCGAGAGGCCGCCCGTCCCGCCCCGTGGCCTGCCCCGGCCGCCAGCACGTCGGGGGGCTCGTCGTCGAGCTTGCAGGTGCTGAAGCTGCTGGGGGCGCGTGCAGCTGCGCGCTCCGAGGAGGGCGAGGGCGAGGGCTCGGAAAACCATGACATCATCGCGTCGTGAAGAATATCTATATGTATTATACATACAAACACAACAGTAACAATAATAGCAACAATCACAACAATTACCACAACAACGATAACAACAACAACAACAACAACAACAACGACAACAAAAACAACAGCAACAACAGCAGCAACAGCAACAGCAACAACAACAACAACCACAACAACGATCACAGCAATCACAACAACAACGAGAACAACCACAACAAAAATACCAACAACCAAAACAACAAAAAACAACCATAACAAAAACAACAACAACATCCACAATGACAAAAAGAATAACAACAAGAACAATAACAACAGCAGCAACAACAACACACAATACAACAACAGCAACGACAGCAGCAGCAGCAACAACGGCGACGACTACAACAACAACAACAACAACAACAACAACAACAACAGCAACGGCAACAGCAACAGCAACAGCAACAGCAACAGCAACAGCAACAGCAGCAACAACAACAAAAAACACGACGAAGGTTTGGGCACTTTTCGGCCTCAGCGGGCTCTACTGGGTACCAGGAGCGTCAAGCAAACACTCGGGATGAAAAACGAGTCCCTGTGAAGGGGGCCATGACGTCGGCCGTCTGGGGAGGAGGAAGACAACAAGAACAAGGAGGGAGGAGGAGGAGGAGAAGGAGGAGGAGGCGGAGGAGGAGGAGGAGGAGGCGGAGGGGAGGAGGAGAGGAGGAGGGAGGAGGAGAGGGAGGGAGGGAGGGAGGGTGAGAGGGAGGGAGGGAGGAGGAGGAGGAGGAGGAGGCGGAGGAGGAGGAGGAGAGGAGGAGGACGGAGGAGAAGGAGGAGGGGGAGGAGGGAGGGGGGGGAGGGAGGGAGGGAGGAGGAGGAGGAGGAGGGAGTAGTAGTAGCAGTAATAGGAGGAGGAGGAGGAGGAGGAGGAGGAGGAGTGGGAGGAGGAACGGAGGAAGGAGGGAGGAGGAGCAGGAGCGAGGGGTGAGGGGGGAGGAGCACAGCGCAGAGGTGTCGAGGAGGGGGATGGAGGAGGGAAGGGAGAGGAAGACGGAGGAGCGAGGGAGGAGGGGTGGCGCTATGGGCGATGGAGGGGCGGATGATGCGGAACAACATGTTCTCTTGGAGGCTGCCACAACAATGCTGACCCCGTCCATATCTGGACCGTTCGTTCATCATTCTCTCCATCATAGGCAAGTCTAAACTCGCACGCCTGTTCTGCGTGCCCCACTGAAACAAGCATAGAGCTAGAGCTCGTTCTCTCGGCGCACATAGTGCGGTTCCTCCTGCAGTGCGAGTGTGTCCTGCGGGACGCACAAGGACATACAACTACTACGTGTCCTCCGTGAAGGCGTGCGTCCGACTCGAAGATGCAATACAGCTATCTTGGGCTGTTCTTGGAGCCTCGTCGGGGTCTCTTTGGGGCCTCTCAGGGATCGGGGGTGTGTTGGGGGCCTCTGGGTGGTCCCGGAGGCCTCTCGGAGGTCTCTGGAAGCCTCCTGCTCCCGCTCTTGGGCCCATCTTGGGCCAGTTCTGGGGTGGTCTGGGGCTGTGCTGGGCGCCTCTTCGGCAGTTTTGGAGCCGTCTTGGCCCGTCTTGGGGCCGTCCTGAGGGTCTCTTGGGTGGTCTTGGGGCGGTCTTGGGAGGATCTTCGGCGATCTTGGACCGTTGGAAGCTCGAAAACGCGAGAGGCCAAAAACATTGAAAAAACATGGCCTCTTCGGGCCGTCCCGTGACACCTATCAGACCTCTCTTGGGGTCTCTTGGAGGCCACTTGGGAGCCTCGAAAGCCGTCGGAAGGCTGACTTGGGCTGCTTGGGAGCGTCTTTGGCCATCCTGTCGCATTCTGGGGGGCTGATGGCGGCCTCCTGGGCCGTCTGGAGGCCCCTTGGAGGCGCCAGGGCGGGGGTATCAAAAAAGAGGGCCCGATGGTTTCGAGGTGGGCGGGGCCCCCAGGCTGGGGACCTGTTATTCATCCATATTATAATTATATATATACACATAAATCTATAGATGTGTACATATAAATATATATATATATATATACATATATATATATATATATATACATATATATATAATATATATATTATATATATATATATATATATATATTACATAGATATATATTACATATATATATATATATGGCACGACCTCTGACCTAAGAAGTGCAAATTCAGTGCAGGCATCAGCCGAGAAGCACGTCTCGTAGTAGGACCCATGAGGCAAGCGACACAGGTGGAGAGGCAAACAGTAAGAAACACGCCTTGAGCTCAGATCGTCCTCTCCAGCGCTGGATCGTGCAGCAACTAACTCCTGGGTCACCCAGCGACTGTCACCACAACTGATGCTGCGCCCCACTTGCCACCCCAAATGAATGTTCAGATTGTACTAACACTCATAAGGGAGGTGGGCCGGCAGGTCACGCCAACGACCATCCGATGTCTGTCTCGTGACGTGTGCTGCCAACACATGATGCATCAAGAAGAGTGCACAAACTCGTTCATGCATATACAATGTATGTACATGCACCTATACAAACAAATAACATGTATGCGTGTGTGTGTAGCCAACTCCCCCCTGTCTCACGCTTCTCTGCTACCGCATCATCGATGTACCTGGCTCAACTGACAGTAGAATCGAATTAAACATGGCTGGGATGAAGGTGTGTTCCAGCCAGCCCGAGTCAAACATTAAGAATAGTTTTCAAAACAGTGCTTGCATTCAGGGGCTCTTATTCTTTCGTAAAAAACTGAACCTTGTTGCCACCTCGGCCAGCTTGTTGTCGCCGTCGCCGCCCGTCGCCGCCTTCCAACGATGCTGCTTTGAGCCCTGGACGCCGCCTCGGCCAGCTTATTGTCGCCGCCGCTGCCCGTCGCCGCCGTCCGTCGCCGCTGCTTCTGGGCCTGGCTGCCGCCTCGGCAGGCTTGTTGTCGCCGTCGCCGCCTCGCCGACGCCCGTCGCCGCCCTGTCGCCGCCCGTCGCCGTCTCGTCGCCGCCCGTCGCCGTCCCCTCGCCAGCGCATTTTGGATGCAAGTTTGATTGCGCGAGCCTCGCAGATTCTCCTTTTTCTACAATAACGTTAGCCAGCCAGCGTGGACCCCAAACAGTAGGGTCCTTGCATTCTACGCGGTGAAATCTACGTGGTGCAATTAACTTTTGTTCGCAATGAGTTGTCCTCCCCACTGCTCGCGCAAACATTCCACCCACCCACCCACAACTTGGTTTGCAAAATCTCTTAAGACCGTGACGGTGGGTACCACATGGCACTTGGCAACAACAGCGACGCCGACGACGACAGCGACAATGACGATGACGACGCCGCCGACAACGACTACGACGACACCGACGACGTCTCCAACGACTTCGACGACGCCGACACGACGACGACGACGACGACGACACCGACGACGACGACGACGACGAAACCGACGCCGACGACGACGACGATGACAACGACGACGACGATGACGACGCCGACGACGACGATAACGACGACACGACGACGACGACGAACGACGTCAACGACGCCGACGACGACGACGACGACGACAACGACGACGGCGACGACGACGACGCCGACGTCGACGACGACGAAGACGACAACGACGCCGACGCCGACGACGACGACGAAGACGACGACGACGTCGCCAACGAAGACAACGAGGAAGGAGGGAGGACGACGACGGCGACAACGACGACAACGACGAGGGAGGAGGGAGGACGGCGACGACGCGAACGACGAAGAAGGAGGAAGAACGGCGACGCCGACGACGGCAACGACGAGGGAGGAGGGAAGATGACGACGACGACGACAACGACGACGACGACGACGACGGCGACGAAATAGGAGGGACGACGACGAGACGCCGACGACGGACGACGACGACGAAGGAGGAGGAGGAAGGACGACCACGGCGACAACAACGACGGAAACGACCACGACGCCAAAGAGGACGACGACGACGAACACGAGGAAAGACAGAGGACGACGTAGGCGACGACGACGACGACAACGACGCGGGAGGAGGAAGACGACGACGACGACGACGCAAGAGAGCGCGCGCACGCTTTTGTTGAAAATCCGTGTTGCGAAACCTTGTGTTTTTGTAGGTTTTTTGGACACATGATTTTGAAATCCTTCCGAAACCGACGGGTTTTGAAGGTTGTCGGCATACGCGCGCGACGACGCGTGCGTCTGCACTTCGTCCCGTTTTTTGCAGGGGATTTTCGCGACGGCACACGCGCAAGGGCGTTCGACAGATTTCGACATGAGCGCGCGCGAAGCCCTTTTGGTAGCAATTCGTGAAAATCTTGAAAACAAAAATTTGTGTTTTTTTAAGGATTTCGCAAGAACTTTCGCGGAAGCTTTGTTTAGCAATTCTGTGTTGCGAAACCATGTGTTTTTGTATGTGTTTTGGAAACTCGATTGCGAAATCCCTCCCGCACCGAAGGTTTTCGAAGGATTTCGGCACGCGCGCGCGACGACGCGCGCGTGTGCACTTCGTCTCATTTGTTGCAAAGGATTCGTGGAAAAAATGTTTTGCTAGAACAAAAAATGTCACCGCATAGTGTTTTTTTTTTTTTTACCAGGGAACCTCAGGGGGGAAACCGGTTTGGCTGGGATGGTACGGTTTCATATTTAGGATGGACGAATGTGCAGAATATATATGAAATCGTACTATCCCAGGGGAACCGATAAGTCTGGGGGGGTAGAGTCTACTCTCTTTTTTAAAAAGGAGAACGTATGCGATGCATCCTATGTACTGCAGTCTACGCGGTGCCATCGACGTGGTGCACTATGTGGTGCAAGCTACGCGGTGCAACTTATGTAAGGAAACCTATGCGGTGCACTCTACATGGTGCAACTAACGCGCGGCAACTTACATAATGCAATCTACGCAATGCAATGTATGTGGTGCGATCTACGTGATGCAATTCATGCGGTGCAAATTACGCGCGGCAACCTACGAAATGCAATGCGACGGGGGCGGCAACGGGCGGCACCGCCCGCAAAAGCCGCCGCTCGCTCGCCACAAACGGCGGCGACAGCGACGGCGACCACGACGGCGGCGACGGGCAGCACCGCCCGCAAAAGCCACCACTCGCCCCGAGCTGCGGCAACGGCGACGGCGACGGAGACAGCGGCGACAGGCGGCACCGCCGGCAAAAGCCGACACTCACCCTTAGATGGTTAAGCCAAATAAGAGCCCCGAAGCGCAAGCACTGCTTGGGGATATTAAGATATACCCCCCCCCCCAAAGGGTTAACGGGCAACCTTTTTTCGTATTGCAATGCACGTACTATTGTGCCCCATAGCCCATCCGAAATATGAACTCCTACCATCCCAGCCAGGCCCGAGCTCGCCCCCCTCATCCTCTGCAACCAAGACTACGCAAGCACACTCAATTATAAAAAATCAACTATGTTCGAACATCTCTTCCAAAAATGCGACGATGTGCACACGCGCGCGTCGTCGCGCGCGCATGCCGAAATCCTTCACAAACTTTAGATGTCGTACGGGTTTCACAATCGAGAGTCACGAGAACAGATATGGAAGAAGACACTCGGTTTCGCAACAAGTGCTCTTCTTTGTTAGAAGAAGCTGCGCTCACGTTTTTGCGAAGTCTTAAGAAAACTGGACGTTTTCCGCATTTTCATAATGTTACCAGATAGGCTTCTCGCGCGCGCGTCGAAATCGTTCAAGCGCCCTTGCGCGCGTGCTGTCGTAAGAACATTTTTGCGACAAGTGGGACGAAGTGCGCACGCGCGCGTCGCCGCGCACGCATACCGACATCCTTGGGCAACCTCAGGCTTCGGAACGATTTCAATAGCGAGCGTCTCAGAAACATATCAAACACATGGCTTTGCAACATCAGTTTTCAAAAAATCCTGCGCTAGCGGTCGTGCGGATTCGTCAGCGATACATGGGTTCCCCAACATGTTCATCGAATTCTGGCAAACGGGCCTCTCGCGCCACAGGCCAAACTCAGTCGAACGCCCTTGCGCGCGGGGGGGGGGGCATGATCCGTGTCAAATATAGCAACGCGGGCCACCCGCGCGCGTCGGCCGCGCGCGCATGTTTAACTACTCCAAAAAGCTTCATCAACGACGGGAAGACATCGTTATCGTTGTCGGCGCGCGTGATCGACATCAGCGCAGTCATTGGCCTTGCCGTCGTCATCGTCGACGTCGCCATGATACTGCGCCCGCCCAAATCACCGACTCGCACTGAAGTGCCCGCTGGGAAATGCACAGCGGTCAGCGCCACCGCGACCACGCCGGTCGCGCCAACCTAGATGGCCGCTGTGCGCGCGAGCATGCGCAGGCCACGGCTGCCGCAGAGATGCACCAGCCAACGCCAAGCACGCAGCGCCGCCGCAAGGGTTTTGCAAACCAAGGAGCGAATGAGCGGGTGGGATGTGTGCAAGGGCGTGGAATGTGCCAGCTCATTTGTAATCATGAAAACGCACCTAGTAGATAGCACCACATAGATTGCACCACCTAGCTTACACCACATAGCTTACACCACACATTTGCACCACATCGCTTGCACCGTATAGCTTACACCATATAAGTTGCAACACATTGCGGACACCATACAGGTTCTCTTTTCTAAAAATAGAATAGACTCTACACCCCCCGCCGGCGTTCGCCGCCCCCCTTTCGGGTATGTAAATCATATATGACTATGACCACATGTCCATCCTAACTATGAATTTACACTATCCCAGGGGGGGCCGGCATCGGTCCCCCTAAGGTTCCTTGGCTTTTAAAAAAAGAGAAAAAAAAAAAAAAAAAAAAAAAAAAAAAAAAAAAAAAAAAAAAAAAAAAAAAAAAAAAAAAAAAAAAAAAAAAAAAAACATACGCGGAGACATTTTTTGTTCTAACATAACACTTGTTTGCGAATCCCTTGCAAAAGGGAAAAAAATACGAAATGCACACGCGCGCGCCGTCGCGCGCGCATGCCGAAATCCTTCAAAAACCTTCGGTGCCGGAGAGATTTCGCAATCGAGATTTCAAAAAACCTACAAGAACACAGGGTTTCGCAACACTGATTTGCTAAAAAAGTTTACGCGCGAGCTCTTGCGAAATCTTCAGGAAACCATAAGTTTTTCAAGATTGTCACAAAATGCTACCAAACGGGCTTCGCGCGCGCATGTCGAAATCTGTCGAACGCCCTTGCGCGTGTGCCGTCGCGAGAATCCTCTGCAAAAAAAGGGGACGAAGTGCAGACGCGCGCGTCGTCGCGCGCGTATGCCGAAATCCTTCAAAACCCATCGGTTTCGGAAGGATTTCAAAATCGTGTGTCCAAAAAACCTACAAAAACACAAGGTTTCGCAACACGGATTTTCAACAAAAGCGTGCGCGCGCGCTCTTGCGTCGTCGTCGTCGTCGCCGTCCTCGTCTCGTCGTCGTCGCCCGTCGTCGTCGTCGTCGTCGTCGTCCTCTTTGGCGTCGTGGTCGTTTCCGTCGTCGTTGTCGCCGTGGTCGTCCTTCCTCCTCCTCCCTCGTCGTCGTCGTCGTCGTCCGTCGTCGGCGTCTCGTCGTCGTCCCTCCTATTTCGTCGCCGTCGTCGTCGTCGTTGTCGTCGTCGTCTTCCCTCCTCCCTCGTCGTTGTCGTCGTCGGCGTCGCCGTCCTTCCTCCTTATTCGTCGTTCGCGTCGTCGCCGTCCTCCCTCCTCCCTCGTCGTTGTCGTCGTTGTCGTCGTTGTCGCCGTCGTCGTCCTCCCTCCTCCTTCGTCGTCGTCTTTGTTGGCGACGTCGTCGTCGTCTTCGTCGTCGGCGGCGTCGGCGTCGTCGTCGTCTTGTCGTCGTCGACGTCGGCGTCGTCGTCGTCGCCGCCGTCGTCGTCGTCGTTGTCGGCGTCGTTGACGTCGTCGTTGTCGTCGGTGTCGTCGTTGTCGTCGTCGTCGGCGTCGTCATCGTCGTCGTCGTTGTCATCGTCGTCGTCGTCGTCGTTGGCGTCAGCGTCGGCGTCGTCGTCGTCGGTGTCGTCGTCGTCGTCGTTGTCGGCGTCGTCGAAGTCGTTGGAGACGTCGTCGGTGTCGTCGTAGTCGTTGTCGGCGGCGTCGTCGTCGTCGTTGTCGCTGTCGTCATCGGCGTCGCTGTCGTTGCCAAGGGCCATTTGGTAACCACCGTCACGGTCTTAAGAGATTTTGCAAACCAAGTTGCGGGTGGGTGGGTGGGATGTTTGCAAGAGCGCGGGATGTGTCAACTCGTTTGATAAAATCAGTTGCACCACATAGACTGTACCTCCTACATTGCACCACCTAGATGCCACCCAACATATTGCACCACCTAGATTGCACCAACTAGAGTGCGCCACCTTGACTGCACCACCTACGTTGCACCGCCTAGAGCGCAAGAAGTCCATGTTTGGGGTCCAGGCGGGCTCACACTCAGCAATGTCCACTCCAGACCCAGCGACGGCGACATCGAATTGATTTCAAACCGCAAGTCCATCACAAAGACACGCCCAGTGCGACCGAGCGCTCCGTCTGAACGAAAACAAACGGTCCTGTGCCATGGACTCGCGCACCTTGTGGCTGGTCGCGCACACAGACATGATGCGAGCACACGGCCGCGAGCTTGTGCGCCCGTGCACCCCCGCAGGGGGCACGCCGATCTCCCAGCTGCTCCTTAGTCTCCGCGGTGCGGGCATGCATGCCTTCGCGCAGGTGCGCGCGCCATGAAGTGCGGATGGTGCCACACCTGCAGGCCAGCTCTGCAACGTCAGGTGGCCAGCCCACCCGTCCTGCTGCGAAGCACTGGCTGCGTGGAGGCGGTATTCGGCCTCCACTGAAGAAAAGCAGCGGACAACAACTGGCCTCTTCGTGTCATGCTACTGTCGACATCCGCCCCTCACTGCTTGCCACCAATCCTCACTTTCTCAGACCGCTCGCGTGCACATAACGTCTATTGGTTCACTTGTCGTGAGCACCCCAGTTGAACCCACAGCAACCATGCATGCGGGCCCTAATTGTTTCAGATGCGGCTCAATCGGCGTTTGCTCGTCCCACATTATAATTGTATACACCCTGGCAAGCTATTGTCCCATGATACTCTCAGCGTTATCACAATACTGTCCCACGTGCTTCACTAAAGCGCATCGCGCAGAAATGCTGGCGTCCCATCACTACCATGACAGCTGCACTAGTCCCCACGTCCAATGTACAGTCCGTACGCCCGTGGTGCAAGTCGCATGGCCGTCGCCCCCACGATTAGATGCGAGACGGGTGAATGCAGGAAGGATGCCGCACACTCGGGAAGCATTCTAGCCTTCTTTGGTCCGTTCATCACTTTCAACATCGTCACCCACTGCAAATTGACATGTGCTGCTTGACCCCCATCTCCCATCCCCACTCGTCCTCCTCATCCCCACCCGCCCCATCAGGATTCATCTCCTCCAGGGGTGCGCGATCCCATAGCAACAACCAATGCATGTAGCAAAACTCAAGGACATGTATATGTGATCCTAGAGCTTGAATGTCGGATGATCAGCGCGCCTGAACTGAGCGATGCGTTCTGTAAGCAATGACGCAATTGCTGGTCAACCCACCGCCCAAGCCCGCCCACCACTATTCGACCTTGCAGCTCCGAAAGCTGACGTGTCAGAAAGCCTGCCAGCCAACCCCAACCGTGCAATCCGCCCAGCCAGCCAGGCGCACGCCTAGCGTCTGCACAAGGATTGCTCAAGGTCACGCGAGCGAGAATCAGATCTGTCGGTCGCCCACCTCATCGCGATGTTCTTAGCCACGGTCCAGCAAATGGATGCGACACCGAGAGGGGGTGGGGAGTGGGGTAGAAAGCGAGGGAAGCAGCAGGTGCGAGGGAGAGGGAAGGAGGATAAGCAGCAGGCGGAGGGAGGTGAGGGAGGCGAAGGAGAGGACGAAAGTAAGAGGATAAGAAGAAGAAGAAGAAGAAGAAAATCAAAAGTGATTATCCTGGCGAAGGGCCCCACCATATTCAGTTGTGAGTACCGCAATTGTGAATAGCTTCTTCGGTGGCGATCCCTATGGAGCCACGAACCGTTTGAGCCGAAATGGGTGGGGCCGACGCATGTGAACACCGCCAGTGGGGCCTACGGTGGAGCTTCCTATGGGACCACGAAACGTGTCAGGGGTACCCCGAAATGGATGGCGCGGATGCATGTGGACACCACCATTGGAGCCTTCGGTGGAGCTACCCATGGGGCCACGAGACGTATGAGCGGTATACCGGAAAGGGTGGCGCGGACGCATGCGGACACCGCCACTGGGGCCTTCGATGGAGCTCCCCATGGGGCCACGAAACGTGTGAGGGGTGTGCCGGCATGGGTGGCGCGGACGCATGTGGACACCGCCACTGGGGCCTTCGGTGGAGCTGTCTATGGGGCCACGAAACGTGTGAGGGGTGTGCCGAAATCGGTGGCGCGGACGCATGTGGACACCGCCACGGAGCCTTCGGTGGAGTTCCACTGGGGCCACGAAACGTATGAGCGGTGTGCCGAAATGGGTGGCGAGGACACATGTGGACACCTGGACACCGCCACTGGGGACTTCGGTGGAGATCCCTATGGGGCCACGAAACGAGTGAAGGGTGTACCGAAAAGGGTGGTGCGGACACATGTGGACACCATCACTAGGGCCTTCGGTGGAGCTCCCTATGGGGCCACGAAACGTGTGAGGGGTGTGCTGGAATCGGTGGCGCGGACGCATGTGAACACCGCCACTGGGGCCTTCGGTGGAGCTGTATATGGGGCCACGAAGCGTGTGAGGAGTGTGCCGAAGCTGATGGCGATGATGGTGGTGATGACAGCGATGATGACGACGATGATGGTGGTGATGACGACGACGACGACGATGATGATGAAGATGATGATGATGATGGTGATGATGATGGTGATGATGATGGTGATGATGATTATGCTTATGGTTATGATTATGATTATGATTCGGATTTGGATTTCGATTATGATTACGATTATGATGATGGTGATGATGGTAACGATGAGGATGAAGGATCTTGATAATGAGAATGAGAACAATAATGAAAATGATGATAATGCTGATGATGATGAGGAGGAGGAGATGTTGATTTTGATGATGCTGATGACGATGATGATGACGATCATGATGATGACGATGATGATGATGATCATGATTATGGTGGGAGGAGGGAGGGGGAAGAGAAGGGAGAGGACTCGGGGCGCTGTCTCTTCAAAACGAGGACCCAACACCACAGGATGGTTGGGAATTACAAGAGGAAGAAGAAAAAGAGTGAGGCGAGAGGAAGTGATGCCTCCTCCCCTCTTCTTCACCCTCCCGGCTCCCTCCACCCCCATCCCCCCCCCTCCCGCCTCCTCCCAAGGACAAGGGGAAAGAAGCAGGACCCAGGGTCGAAAAAGCAGGGCCGCACCTCGACGGCCTCTCGCCCGTGCCGCACCCCCTCTCACCGACGAGGTACGTGTCTCTTCGGCCAGGGCCCTCCCATCACGCATCCCGCATCCTCCAGTCACGCCACTCCTCACAATCCTCCCCCCTCTCTTCCGCAACACCCCGAATCCTCTTGGAGCCATCCTGGAAACAATGGATTACATTTGAAGAAAACGACTACCCACACTTGTAGACATCTGTTTGCAACGGCCAGTGAGTGTGTACATATATGTCCCGAAGGAAGAGAGAAGAGCAAGAAAGAGCGCAACCATGCAATAATCGCCCTGGCCTCAGAGAGGTATAACTTGACATATACATTAATCTGGTCGTAGACCTAAACATATACATTTATAGAGACGCACAACAATAGATCCCGCTCCCCCGCCGTCCCCACCCCAAAGTCACTATCCTGCCCCACCTGCCCCACTTGCTTCGATTTAAAAGAATTGGCGCGCTTCAACTCATTTTGCATACCGTACCATTGATCGCCACTACGCCTGTGATGATGGTCGCTGTCACACTGCTACGCGTGCATAATGTGCCACCAAGATTGCTGAAACACGCTACAAAGTCGTTCAATGAGTTTCGTCTTGTCATATGCACGTCAAGGATGTAAACATCCGCCCCGACGCCTGCAAACTTATCCACGCTCCTGTCTTCCATCCCGGCGCAGGCGTTCGCGAGGAGTTTGGGCCCCCCCTTACCAAGCTGGGGTAATGATGGCACGAGCGCGCAGGCAATGGAAGCATTGGAGACTTCTACGAGATACGCCTTCGGCGAGCATGAAATTCATTTGAACCCAACTGCACAAGAAAAGCAAGAGCCGAAAGAGATACGGAAAGACGTCAGGACAGATGGTATTTGGACGAGAAAGACGCTGAAAGACGTCAAGGCCACCAGACGTCACGTAAGTTGAACCTATGGCGCACTGTTGGAGAAAGCTGGAGCATGTAGCATACGACGATCTAGCAATGATTCAACCTGCACGGAGCTGCGCTTCCCACTTGAAGGCGTTATCTCAATCGGCACAACCCTCGAACTTGCATATGTCAGCAGTGAGCAGTGAAGTTCCTGGTCAACCAGGCCACTCCGAGCGCTCATCTTACGAAATTCTGGAGTTGCGGACCACACGCCTGACAAGGCTGCCGTCGACAAGACGTCGTGCACACAGTTCCCCCTCTTGTCTCACGTCAAAAAAAAAGCGTTGGTCTGCGGCCGCTTGGCTCAAGCAGCGTTCGAGCGAGGGAGGGGCGCTTCCGAGGCGAACTGAGGCACTGAAGCAGGCGAGCATCGAGAAAAACTTGTTGCGTCGGCGGCGCGGCAGGGGTCGTCTGCGCTAGCGGACAAGCCTAAACGGGAGAGCCGTTAAAGCGATGTGTGCCACCATGCAGAAGGGGGGAAGAGGAGGAGGACGCGGCCGAAAGAGGGGGCAGAGCATCAAACAAAAAAACGTCTCATCCCAGCACGTGTGAGCCACTCGGTCGTCCAAGAATCTTACTGCGCACAAGGTGTGCCACCACGAGGACCCCCAGGCCAGGTGAACTGCCCCCCTTCACCGACAGTTCGCCAAACGCTTGTCTCGCACTGTCTGCACTTCTGTCTCGATCGCTCTCTCTCTCTTTCTCTCTCGCTCTCTCTCTCTCTCTCTCTCGCTCTCTCTCTCTCTCTCTCTCTATCTACCTCTCTCTGCTCCTTGCGGAGCGCATCTGGGAAGTTGATCGTGGCATCCGACGCGTGGTTCAATCAAACCACTTGCACGCACAGCCTCCTTGCCGACCAGCTTACCCACGTCCCCAAACATCCACTCAGAACATGATCTGCGGGGCAAGCAACCACAAATATTTCCCTCTGTTGACCTCCGCGGAGCCGTGTAACCCGTTCCGTGATCTGATGCACCAGGAATCCAAGCAGAACGCGGAGACGGGCAAAGCCATGTATACAACGCACATGTACATACATGTACGCTTATATGCATACACCCGTGAACAGATGTAACTCTGTGAAAATTCCCATGGTCGAGATCGAACGGTGCGGCATAAACGGCACAGGGCGACTCTCCAAACCCTTCACTGGGCGACGAGACCACACGCACTGCCCGTGTGCCCGTGCCCTGCAGGCACGTCTGCGGCCGCCCCTTCGAACGGTTGCTGACAACTGACGGGACGATCCCGTCCGGCGCTTTGCCGCTGCGGTCGACAGTCGGTTACTCGTGCCGCACGCAGACGGCACGCTCACACAGCACTGCCCGCAAGAGGTGTTCGAGAGGGCACATGCAAGGTTACGTCTTCGCCAACAACCGCGAGACCTTCCCGGCAAAAAAAACGTGTGCCGTTGCATGGCATCCGACGCCATCGGCTCGCCGCTGAACTGCCTCCCTTTGCTGCGCAATGGCTTTTACCCGCACGCTGTTCCAAACAGCAGCAACGCATGTCGCGTGCCCACGGAACGCGTCGGATGGCAGCAGCCTCTGAATTCAGCCTTGCATTGCAAAAAACGTCATGCAAGAGTCTGCGCAGACAGCAGAGGTGAGGGGGACAGCCCGCCAGAAAACGAGAGGACTGGGATCCGAACGTGGAAGGCCCGAGGCTCTGAAGGCCGACGCGTACGGGAAGCACTGCATGCGTGCAGCCTTCCGCCAGACGCTCGCGCGGAAGCACGGCAGCGCGGCGACCAAGGCCCACATGCTGCACCCGCTGACGTCCGTATCGAGGTCGCGCCTGCGCCACCCTCACGAAGGGAGCCGCCCCCACCAGGAAACAATGCTTCACCGCTTCCGCTCGCAGCTCGTGCGACACGTCCTGAGGCTCTGGCACAGCCTGGCCACCTCCCGAACGCCAGGCCCCACAACGACGACCGCCGACGATCCTGGCTCAGCAAAGGCATGCTGCCTGCCGCCCCGCGGACGACGGCTTGCCTCCCGGGTGGCCGCGGCACTGCCCTCCCCTACTGCATCCTTGGCTGACCGCGCACCTCTTGGGACACTGGCTCCGGTGCCTGAGGCCGCCCGCGCGCTCCTCGTGGCGAACATTCGCAGCGCACGGAGCATCCGCGCACACTTTTGCGTCGGCGGCTAGGCAGAGTGACTGCGCTGGCGGGAAGGCATCGGTCGGGCATACGAACGCGAATGAGGCCGCGATGCACAAGGGGGGGAGGAGGAGGAGGAGGAGGAGGAGGAGGAGGAGGAGGAGGAGGAGGAGGAGGAGGAGGAGGAGGAGGAGAAGGAGGAGGAGGAGGAGGAGGAGGCGCCCGGCCTGGCGGTGGCGGGAGGGAGACGGAAGCCAGGCCCGCTCAGAACAAGGCCAGGCGCGCGGCGGGGCGGCGCCGGGAGCGGGGGCCAGCAGCAGCGGGGCGGCGGCTGGGGGGGCTTAAGCATCCTCACACAGTCTACCTCCGCGGCCGCCCTCTTCTTCCCCGCGCGTTCAGTGTGTGCCAGACATGCCGGCGCGGTCCGCCGGCTGCCCGAACTCGTTGTGCGCTCGCCCTCGCCGCTGACCGAGAAGTGTGCGACACGTCCTGATCGGAATGGTTTTCGGGCCATAACTCGGGCGTCATGCGGCCGTCCGGGACGATCTGGGCGCCCCTGGAAAGCTCTCGGCAAGGCGCAGCCGCTGGAAGGCATCCAGAGGCGCCGCCGAGAACCCACGAAAACGTCCGAAAGCCTCGAGCCTCGAAGCCGACGACCTCGAACCTCGAAGCCGACACCCCCACTCCCCCATCGAGGGTCTAGCAGCGCCAGCAGCAGCCACGTTTTGTGACTCTGCCAGGGTTGCGGGGGCAGAGATGTCCTGGGACGGCTGCTAGTGTTGTTAGTTCCCCCGTTACTCCACCGAGCGGGCCCGCTGCGTCGCAGCGTCGCAGCGTCGAGGTGTCGCCCTCAAAATCAAAACTCGGATGCAAATGATGCGCCATGCAAGTTCACGGTGGAACAGCACCTCGAAAAACACTTGAGCATCTGGCTCAGGGGCCATGACCCTGTCATGACATTTTACGTCGGCGGCTAGGCAGAGTCACTGCGATGGCGAGGAAGCGAAACGGGGCTGCTGTCAAGCGAGTTGCGCCACCATGCAGGAGGGGGGAGGGAGACGACCCTGTCATCACATGCTGATGGAGGTGAGCGGGACCGCCTGAGGACGCAATACGAAGCGCGTCAAAGCGGTGCGCGAAGCGTGAAGCCCACGTGAGCCGATGACAGCACAGTGGAAGCCGAGGACAGGAGCCTTTAAGGGGGCCCTGGGACACACAACTAAATAGACACACATCGCAGGATCCCCCATAATTTCTATTATATGTTCTGGGTGTTCGTATTCCCCCCCACTTCCCATAGTTTCCCATAATTTCCCCGGACGTCGACACTTAATTGTTGTCTGTGTTTGTCCTCTCCTCAGCCTTGCTTGATCGGCAAAACCAGAAGGCGATCTTGCTCGGAGTAGAGATGGACACTACAGGGGCTACCAGAGCGGGCGCGCAAAGAGAGGAGCAGGCCCCTGGTCTTCACGCAAGCACAGGAGTCCTCCACCGTGCCCTGTGCACGTTGGGGCGTGTTAGAATAATCCTTTGCTGCCTGGCTAGGTCCCTTAAGCCTTGTCTATGACCGACACCCCCACTCATCGCACGCGTCGTCCGAACCTCGCCCCCCCTGAATTTGCTCTCGGGTACACTTTTCTGAATCCAGACGGCTCCAAGACAGCCACACACCGCCCCAAGACAGCCAAGCTCGCCCCAAAATGGCCCAAACAGACCCCAAGACGGTCCCATGACTATCGAAGAAGGCCTCGAGACGGTCGAGGCTGGCCCCAACATGACCCAAGATGGCCTCAAGACGGCCCAAGAGGCCCCCAAGACGTACAAAGAGGACGCTTCAAGAGGACGCCCAAAATGTTCCGAAGAAGGCTCGGGGACAGCCGAAGAAGGCCCCAAGAGGGCCCAAGACGGCCCAAGGAAGCCCGAAGACGGCCCACGAGGCCCCAAATATGACCGAAAAGGCCCTGAATGGAATTCAAAAAATTTCCAAGACTAACCTCCATGACGGCCCGAAAGCGCCCCACGAGGACCTCAAGCCCCAAGACGGGCCAGAGAGGCCCCCAAGACGGCCTCCTGAGGCGGCAGACGAGCAAGGAGAACCCAAAGGCGGCCCAAGAGGCCCCCAAAAGGCCCCAAGAGGCCCCCAACAAGGCCCTCCAGGCGGCCTCCGAGAGGCCCGTCAAACCACGCGCTGAATTGCAGTGGGTCTTTGACTCAACCTCCTTCACGCTGCACCGCTGCGCTGGCACGGTGGTGGGGTTTGCCGCAGGTAGCTGAATGGATTCGCCGAATTACTGCAAGAATCCCTGAATCGGGACGCTACCTAGAGGCTGCATGCACAAGACCCTACTCGTCCCATTCGTCCTCCCCCCACCCTATACCAAATGCACAGAGACGCCATGATCAGTCATTCCTGCGAAATCGGCGTTGAATTATGCTGCTTCGGCTTTGCCCCACGTATGCCCTGGGACAGGAAACGCAGCACACCAGCACAATGTTGCGGGAATCGATATGTGGCGTCGGCTTTGTTCGCAGAGACGAGAACGGGTTCCAGGATTCAGGGCCCCTCTGGGGTACACGATCTTGCCAATAGCTGCGCGCTGTCCCATAGCGCCGACTATAGTGTCCCAAATATGGTGGAATTCGGGCGTTGCCAGAAGAGACCATTGCCAAAGGCGATCCCAGCTTTTCTGGAGGCCCAGATGGCCTCGAGGGCACTCTTCATCAGTGCCAGACAAGCCTCGGGGGATCCAAAACGACACGAAGAGCTGGGGGCACCCGGGGCCAGGAACACCTCAGGCAACCTCCGAGCCTGGTCGGGGGGCTGAACTGGCCCCCCGAGGGTTCCTGCAAACAGAACAACTACTGTCTTAAAGGGTGAACGATGCGAATCGAACACGCCATTGCATGACGAAGAGCTGGAGGGTGCATTATACACCCGCTGCGCGGACACGGAACGGACGCCGACGACGACGACGACGACGACGACGACGACGACGACGACGACGACGACGACGACGACGACGACGGCGGCGGCGGCGGCGGCGGCGGCGGCTGCGGCGACGACAGCGACGACGACGACGACGACGACGACGACGACGACGACGACGACGACGACGACGACACACGACGTCTGGAATCTTGGCAGCCTGTCCCGCCCTCGTTCTCCCCCCCTGACTGGGCGCCGTTGGGGTCTGCGTGCCCCAGGGGCAAACTGAGAACGCCAAATTGCTCCGTTGCGCACCACCGCTGACTGCCCTCCCCACCCGCTTCCACCAAGCATTCCGAACCCTCCTCCTCCTCCTCCTCCTCCTCCTCCTCCTCCTCCTCCTCCTCCTGCCCCTCCTCCTCCTCCTCCTCATCTCCTCCTCCTCCTCCTCCTCCTCCTCCTCCTCCTCCTCAGTTTCCCTCCTCCTGCCCGTCGTCATCCTTCTCCTCCTCACCCACTGAGCCCTCTCTCGGCCTTCTCCACATCTGTCAAGATATTCTTCGCTCACCTTCCCCTCACACGCTCTCCTGCGCCCCCCGCCCTCATCTCCCTTTCGCTCCACACCTCCACGGAGAGGAGGAAGAGGACATAGAAGCGAACAGGCAGACAGTATGGACCAGGAAACAAACGACACCGCCTCGCATACGGCCCCACGGGGCTTAGCGTATACACCAGGGCATCTGGCGAGAGCTTCTGCGTGGGCCGCAGCGCGACATGGAAGGCCGAGGGCGGGGTGGCGTCGCTCGTGTTGGGTTGACAGTAGCCGTTCCGTCGAGCCCCACCCCCCCACCCCACACGAGCGCGTGGCGATTCCTCGAGGCCGTCGCGGCCATGCCTACCCAGACCGCCCGTCACTCTCTGCAGGCGGGCGACGACGCGCCGGCGTAGCTCCCGACGCTTCCGGCGCGCTCGGGCAGCCGCGCCTGCCCAGCGCGCCGCCGCCCTCGCCACGATCGCAATCTGTCTCGCCCCCGAGACCCCTCTTCAGTGGGACGCACAAAGACATACTAGTACTATTTGTTCTCCCTGGAGGTGCGCGTCCGACCCGAGCATGTAGAATACCCATACTGTAGTACATCGTTTCCCGAGCGGTGTGGCCAGAAAGCGCCCGCCACGACGCATATACTACAAGATTTCTCGGTGCGCGCGTCGCCACAATGGGGGCGACGCACACATAACATGAAAAATATGCTGGGGTGAAGCCGATTCAGGTCCGGGAAAAGTCACGACATACCGTTTTTTTCAACGTTCGGCCTTCGGGAGCCCTCGCGGGGCCTCGGGGCCGTCCAGAAACGACGACCCGGGTTGTCCAGGTCCTGGGGAAGGGGTCCAGACCTCTAGGGGGTCCACATCCTGAAACATCGTGGCGTCGGGGGTCTGGGCATGTCTCGCATGCAGTCCCAGCAAGCCACTGATCACCTCGCCTTGGTCCCATTTCGCTCGTGCGAGCTGGCGTTGCCGCAAGGGTCCCAACGAGCGAGGTCACGAAATCTGTCGTGGTGTGTGCAATCTGGTCCACGCTTCGCTCAAACGCCGATTTCACTGTCGCCATGCTTGCCGACTCGATGCACCGGCGAACCGAAACTGAAGCTGGCAGAGCTCTCGCACTTCCTCCTCTCCTTGATCCTCTGCGAAGTCTTGGTCGCTCCTCCTCCTCCTCCACCACTGCGAAGTCTTGGTCGCCCCTGTGACGGCAGTGTGCTCCTGGGCGATCAGCAGAGGATGCCCCAGGCCGCTTCGTCCAGAGCCTTCGACCCCACCGCGAAGCACGAAAAAGGAGCGCCAAGATGAGCACCTCTGGTCACCACCGCCTTCACGATGGAGAACCGCGAAGGAGGAGGAGGAGGAGGAGGAGGAGGAGGAACAGGAGGAGGAGGAGAAAGAGGAGGAGGAGGAGGAGGAGGAGAAGGAGGAGGAAGCGGAGGAGGAAGCGGAGGAGGAGGAGGAGGAGGAGGGGGAGGAGAGGAGGAGGAGGAGGAGGAGGAGGAGGCGGAGGAGGAGGGGAAGGACGAGGAGCAGGAGGAGGAGGAGGAGAAGGAAGAGGAGGAGGAGGAGGAGGAGGAGGAGGAGGAGGAGGGAGGAGGAGGAGAGGAGGAGGAGGAGGAGGAGGAGGAGGAGGGGAAGGAGGAGGAGGAGGAGGAGGAGGAGGAGGAGAGGAGGAGGAGGAGGAGGAGGAGGAGGAGGAGAAGGAGGAGGAGGAGGAGGAGGGAGGAGGAGGAGGAGGAGGAAGAGGAGGAGGAGGAAGGAGGAGGAGGAGGAGGAGGAGGAGACGGGAAGGAGGAGGAGGAGGAGGAGGAGAAGGACGAGGACGAGGAGGAGGAGGAGGACGAGGCGGAGGACGAGGAGGAGAGCCCCGAGAGCCGCAGCGTCCTCTGCAAACGTCTGCGCCCCTCGTGCGCGCGGGGGCGCGCCCGGCGCACCAGCCACGGGCTCCACGTCCCTGCATGCCTGGCCTTGCTCTTCGCTCGCTTCATCCACCCCTGCGCTGCCTGCCGAGCATCTTTGCACCCCTCCCCACCGTGCCCTCCACACCTCTCCTCTCGGCGGCGAGGCCGGGGGGGAAGCGAGAAGGGGCGGGCCTCATCCGAAGCCTCGGAAGTCCCCCGGCCTTCTGAACAGTTCTCGGGGCCTCCCCCGAAGGCAGAGGCAACTCCTCGGAAAACGCGGGGGTTTCTGAGAAGTCCCGCCTCCTTCTGAAAAGGCCTTCTCCTTCTCACTTCCCCCCCTGGGCGCACCGCCGATATCATTTTTCGGGTAGTAACGCGGGTGTCCAGCGGCCTTCCGGGACGATCCGGGCATCCCCGAAACGCTCTCGGCGAGACGCAGCCGCTGGAACGCATCCCGAGGCCGGAACCGCCAAGGAACTATGAAAACACCCGGAAACCTCGAACTTCGAATCTCGAGCTGCCTCCCCTCGTTCGCCGCCGAAATGAGAAAGCACCTTGCCCTCCTGACATCTCCTCCATCTCCCCCCAACATCCCGCACCGTCCCGCCCTCTCTCTTCATGACCTGCCTAGGGGTGCCCCCCGGCTTTCTCTCTTTCCCCTCCCTCCCGTCCTTCACCCACGCCCAGCCCCCCGTCACCCGTTCGCCTCTTCGTTCGGCCTCCGTCTCCCTCTATCCTTACTTCTTACGGTTAAACACCCCCACATCCCCACCTAACCTGCCGATAGCAAACCCGCCGTCCCAACTCTCAAAGAACAATACAAACTCAAGTTTTCCCCCGCCAACATGTCGTCGAGCTGCGAAAAGCGTAGCAGGAATAGGACGGACTGAACATCGCTTGGGTAACCCTAAGCGGG